ATCGTGGCATTACACCGCTTTGATATTTCCATTTCTCGATTTAACCTTCTAATTATATCTTTATCTGCTTGCATAACGATGATGCAATTAATTGCACTTAATCGACGCGACATGAAGGGTACGAAAGGGGAGATCCACGACCGACGAAGACGTGTAAATCTGAATTTCTATCGTGCTTGTTGTGTTTGGGATCAGTTTTACCGCGTTAACTGAACAGAGGGAAGATAATCGAGGAAGGTATCGTGACATTCAGTCTCCTTCGCATTTCGGTTCAATTAATCTCGCGATTTTATCTTCGTCTTTCGCGTAATATCATTCATAAAAATAACATTACAACATAATAATGCGAGATCCAGAAAAGAAATAAAACGCGCAAATATGGGGTAATAAATATTTAATTGATACGACAATCGCGATACTGTAACAAAACTATACTCTTTCTCGCACGCATGGTCGCTAATTTCAACTTAACTTGTCCAATTAACTTGATATTTGTCTGATTAAAGGTCAAACATGTGCCGCATTCGCGCGCTGTTATCTTATTTTTTCCTCTACGTATAAATTTCGACCTCCTCAGGAGCATCGATGGTCTGTTTAATACAATCGCTGCTGACTACGATTATCTCGTAACTATCTGCATGTGTATGTGTGTGTGTGTGTGTAGTACATGCCAGGTTCATAACTATTTCAATGAATTTTACATCTTCCGCGGCGTAGCCAAACCGACACACATGCGAGGAGAGCACGCGTCGTGCCGCTCGAGAAGGAGGAAAAAGGAGAATCCGCCGTGCTACCTGCGCCTGAAACTGCCCTGGCAGGCACAAAGAAACGAGTGGCGAGTAGTCGCCGGGCCGGGCCAAGAAGCACACACACATACGAGAGAAGAGGAGAGGAAAGAGGAAAGAAAAGAAGAGAAGCGCGAAGGAGGAAAGAGCACGAACGACGAACGGCGGGGCGGCAAGAGATCTCGGGAGAATTACGCGCTCGATCGAGACACGTAAAAGACGAGGCAAGAGAAAAAGCATCGACGACTTGAAAGCAAGCAAGCGAGCAAGAAAGCAAGAAAGAAAGAAAGAGAAGGATTATCGATGCGTTACGTACGGAAATATATATATAGCCGATCTTTGGTCTCTCTCTCTCTCTCTCTCTCTCTCTCTCTCTCTCTCTCTCTCTCT